CCAGCTTCAAAAGTTGCACTGATGGTCACTATGCTGCTCCTCTGGGACAGATGGGATTTAAGCTGCTTTTGCCAAAGGGTACTTCAGCAGTAGTTTCTGTGAGGTTAGAGTGCACTCATCACACAATTCCCTCTATCCAGACTTTCCCAGCAAGTCCTTCGAGTTAAATCATTGACCCCCTGGCCATTGTTGCTACAATGCTGCTGCCTGAAGTAATCGTCGTGTACGCTCCATCCATCCAGTCTTTAGCTGCCAAAACATCACATCATTTACTCCACTCATCTTTTGCTCTGCAGTTTGGATCACTTCAGACCCAGCAGCAATAATTCAAACAATAGGTATTTGCAAATACATTAAGAGCATGCTGGCACTCAGCCCAAGGAGTGATCATTGAGATAAATTGATCCCTATCTGTTTAAATTGGCACTGTAATCGCTCATTGGTGAATTGAACACAGATATATTGTATTTGGGATCTGTTGGCCGTTTAGACAGCAGCCGTCAGAGGAAAACAGACACAGTGACTGAAAGTGATCTATGTTAGTGACAACATTTAGTGAAACATCTAAATGTCTGTACTTTTTTCTTTGTAGTCTGCAAGAATGAGGCAGTGTAACACAATTTTCACAATACAAGCATATTTCGAGTGATGTGTGCTCAAGATATTCCATTCTTACTACTCACGTTTTCAAAAGATATGATTAATTTATAATACACAATGTGAGAAACTGAAAAACGTATAGAAGAAAAATCTGCATGCAAAAAAATCAATTAACAATTCATTTAATCAAAATTGACTATTATTATTTGAATTATTATAGTGATTTTGTAATTTATTTTACTCAGACACAACCAGCAGTTTTCAAATCACTGGTCGGTGCTCAGCATCTATCACCATTAGACACTACTGTAAAGAGACAGGCGATAAAACCCCTGTAGAAAGACTGATACTGTAAAACAGTACAGATACATTTGATAAGAAACAACCTGTCGTGATGATCTGCATCAAGCTTTTTGAAAGTGTGTTAGATATATTGGGGGTTATATCGTGGAGCAATTTATTAGTTTTTTTATTTTTTTATTTTTTTGTTTTTTGTTCACATCAAATGTTTCGAAGCGGAACAGACGAGTTTCTGTCCCGATTCCGCAGGCATCTAATTCAATATGACTCTTGAAGTTGATTAGCCTGGTTAACCTTTGAACCAGCGCGGCTGTGGAAGGGTTAATCGGGCCGGGAACTTGGAGACCTGCGGGTCAGAATCCCTCGATCTGCACGAAAGAGGACTTGGTGAAACCACAAAAAAAGTCAGACGCATTTTTTTTCTTTTTTGTTTGTTTTGTTTTTGTTTTTTCATTGAAATTTTGACTTTTGCCATAAATAACGGACGTTGAGCCGTCTTTAAATATATCCATTTTTACTATTGCTGTTTTCCTTTTTAATTTTTATTCTGAGTGTGTTTGGAATAAAACTGCCTTTCCAGTAAAACGGTATGAATTTCACCAGCTATTCCACCTCACGCAGCGCTTGGAGCTTTTTTTTCTCTTTGCAAGATCGTAAATCTCAACTATTTTTTCCTGTCGCTCTATCGATTAATTTAACTGCAATCATCCCAATCAGCACATCTCCTTTGCTGTCTTCCACATTATGGGCGCGCGCTTTGTTTCACCAACAACAATAAAGTGATTTAGTCCTGTTTTTTTCTTCTTCTTCTTTTTCTTCTTCTCTCCCCTCCCTCTACCCCAGCCGGAGCATGAGAAATCGTTAAAGACCCAGCTATTTGTGTGTGATCAGTAAATATTTAGTGCGGGCGACATCCTCTGTCTCAACTTAATCGATACTGATCCCGTTGGGCAGCGCTATTGTTGTGCGCATGGTGGCTTGCTGAGCATTTAATACTTTTATCCTCTGCTTGAAGGCGACACGCAGAGGAAACCTATGAAGCCGGGGAATAGAAAAAAAAAGAAAAAAAAAGAAAAGAGAAAGGGGGGAAAAAGAATATTTGGGAAATGTTTCTGCATCCCATACAAATTCTATGAACTAATTATTGCAATAATAATACTACTACTAATGATAATAATGTATATATATATATATATATATATATATATATATATATATATATATATATATATAATATATATATATATATATATATATATATATATATATATATATATATATATATATAATTTTTATTTTATTTTTTATCAATTTATATTAGTTGCATTTAAATTTTGGTCTAAATTTGCATGGTTGCTAATTTTCAAAGTACAATTCCAATTTTCATTTAATTTGCAAAAATGCACAATTCCACGTTACTAACTCGCCCCACTTAAAGACAGGTGTCTGTTCTGGCTGCACTACCCCCACCCCACCCCACCCACACTCCCTCTCCTCTCCTCTCCTCTCCTCTCCTCTCTTCTCTTCTCTTCTTCTCTCCCCTCAGCATTGCCCACACAAAGCAGCGGCGATCGAGCGCGCTTTGGCCACATTACTGTAGGAGAGAAAAAGGCGCACAGGATCTTTGCCGCTCGCCGCAAACCTTCCCCGGCTTGCTTGTCGTTTCCAGAAGGCATCACACATGCTGTTCTGCTCGGACGACACTTCAACTCATTAGGCTGCATTTGCTCTAATTCTTCACTCTGCAGCACATGACGTGAATCAGTTGTTTGTTTCGGCTCCCGAAAAGTTTTTGCATGCTCATCCTCAGCAGCAACAGCAGACATTGCACTTCGTTTCCAATAAACAGCGAGCCTTTTTGGCGCATGCAACTCCCCGACTGGGTTGGAGAGGAATCAGTCTGAGCACTGTGTCGAAAAGGGGAAGACTAAATTTAATCTGAATAAGAGAGAGGGGAGAAGATGCATCCCGCTACGGACGAATCAGCAGCATATGCATTTGGTAGGTTTGCTATGAGAATACAGCCTCCGGACTCGCTATTAATGTTGAATAAAAAAATTATGAATGGCTGTTTGCAAACTTGCAAGACTTATCGCGGTTATCTTAGAAATTAATGAATGAGGGGGTGGAAAAAGTCCGTGTTCGCTGCACAGCCGCTAGAATACGATTCGCCTAAAGGTTCCTGATGCAGATCTTGCATCTTATTTTAAAGGAAATGTTTTGATTTAAAGCTGAGAAATAAAGCAACGTTGCTTATTATTATTATTTTTATATATATATAAAAATTGAAGAATTTTGAACACTCACCTTTATCTACGTGAAACTGGATCCTCGCAGCGTCTTTTGGGACTGTTTCCACTTTCGCTGAATCTGTAAACAAAAAATAATAATGCAAGCAAAAAATATATATATTCGGCTAATTTCTCTCAATTAGATGTAATTTGGTTTGATACAACCACTGGGATTAGTAAAAGTAGCGGGGAGGGGAAAAAATGTGCAAAAGTAAATCCAACTCCTGCAGCTATCAAAGCTTTTTCCCATCCACGGTTGTGTTGAACGAAATTAAAACAGTCATCAGTTTAAACTGCAGCTCGTTAGTTTGGTTGGTCGATGCGAGAGACGAGACTGAAGCTGTTTCCGTCTCGGATGGCTCCTCTAAATTGAATCTTCTGTGAGGAGAGAAAAAAATCATACGCTAGGGGGCACCCATATACTGTAATACATCCTGAGACAATGCTGGTGGATGCTGGTGGATAGGGCTGCTCTCTCTGTCGCCTAACACACTGACCTGGCTGGAAGTTCAAATCCACGGCTGTGAAGTTTCACCTGCAGTTCACAGCTACACTCAAAGTGAAACAGTTGTGTTGCTTCTTGTTTTGTTTTTTGTTGTCTTTTTTTGTGTGTGTGTGTATGTGTGTGTGTATTTTTAAGGCTGGACATGCTCATTTATCCCTACAATCGCTAACACTTTTGGACATGCAAACCGTCCGCATCTTTAAATAGACATTTACTCCTGCACAATGTCTTTAGTCACGAAGTATCTCCACAAATGACGCCTCGCTTTATTTCCCAGGATGTCGTCTCGCTGCCTGCCCTGCATGCTGGTGGCTTCTGACATGTAGTGATAAATGTATATTTTTGGATGCAATCTCTGTTTCCTGCTTTTTTTTTTTTTTTTTTGACCACATGTAGACAAAGCTTTGACTTTTGGAGGACCAAATTTTGGCCCCTTGTGACCCAGTTGGATTAGAGGGGAAAAGATCTTTGTTGCCTCTGGGATGTGCAGACAGAGGATTTCAGTGCACTGCCATAACATCTTTATGACTGTGATAAACAGCGCCTGGTTAGAAGCACTTACAACCTTTTAAACCTGCATAGACCCAATGTAACTGATAGCAGAATTTGATGCATGTTTTGTGCAAAAAGTGTGCAGAATTATTTTCCAAAAAAGCAACAACCTTATACAGTAAGAGAGACTTATAGGCTCATAATATGAACTATCTCTGTATTTTGTAACATGATAATAGACATTGTATACTGTTTCTGTTATTGTTTTCACAAAAAGTTTTACTTTTAAAGCAATTCAAAGTATGTCACTGTAAAGTTGTTGTGGTAAAATATATGCATTCTTATGTTTACTTTATCTCACCTTCAGATTTCCAGTGCGACATCTAAGCTGCTGTAATTTAGAATATTGTATATGAACTAAACTAATCATAGCCACTACTCCAACTGCTCCTGACTAAACTGAGCACTTTTGGTTAAGCTACAGAAAACAAATTCTGCATTGCATGCCTTGGGTTGTAAAATAGAATTGGAGCAGGAATTAGAGTAAACATTCAGAGCAAAAACAATTGGTGTTGAATTTTGCAGGGACTTCAAGCCTTTCCACCGTCGTAAATGGCAAGGCAGCATTATTTTTAACATTAATTGGACAGCGAAACGGTGATACTTTAACAACAAACATTTTAGAGTGTAATCCATGTTCATGAACTGGAACATCCTTGGATTTTCCAGCATGTTTAATATACTGCAACCGGATACGTGAGGAGGAAATTATTTTTCTTCACGTAATTCCTAAAGCTTTGTGGAGCTATATATGTGCAGGCTTATATCTCATATAGTCTGAGGGATTTTGGTGGCTCTTTCTTTCAGAAAACATCTCCTTTTAGGACCAAGCGGCCCTCCTCTCGACCTCCATGCTGGCTCTGGCAAGGTACCAAGTAGCACAAGTGCCGACTAGCCAATAGGGTTCAGGGGGAGGTCCCTGAGCTCTGACCAGTCAAACACACTCTCCTTCCTTATATGGCAGCCGATCTCCATGGTAACGTGTGCTAAGTTGCAGCAGTCGTGTCAAAGTTCACTATATAGAGAGCTCAGTGAGCTGATCAGAGAGAAAGCATTCTGCCAGCCCGGCTCCTACCAATCGCAAATCACTTCCTAACCTCCGCCTTTTTAACATATTTGATCACTTTGATTCTCCGCTGCTTTTTCCTATTATTTTTCAACGCACGGAGGAGGTTTTGTAGGTTGTGATCTTTGTTTTTTTTTTTTTTTTTTTTTTTTTTTTTTTTGGTTTCTTGTTTTTACTGCTGTTGATTTTTGGAGGGGGAAGAGAGTTGTCTTCATATTCCAAGCTCTCAAAACACAGAGCTTCAGCTGCGCGCTTGCTTGGCGCAACCTCACAAGGAGAAACGGGAAGAAGGCGCTGCTTATTCTGATTTTTTTGTTTTGTTTTGTTTTTTGTCATCATTTGACTGGTTTTCTTCAGGACTTGTGCTGGAACTTGATAGTAGAGCTGCTACAGTGTGTGTGTTCTTGTGTGTGCTGCAGTTGGGAGCCTGCTCCATCATACCAAGAACAGTCCCATGCTACCTCGGTTGGTTCTTTTTGACATATTCAGCCTACCTTTCCTCCCATTGATGGGTGTGCTGGATGGCTGACTGTAAGCGCCCCTGGACTTGGCCTTTAAGCGCAAGGCAGCCGCTCAGCTCGCCGTCGCATCAGTTTTGAAACCGTGCCTCCCCAGGCGTCTCCAACAGCAATAAAACCGACAGTTTCCCGGAGATCCGGAGTGGATCCAAACGCCAGGCTGTTACAGTCCCCCGACTTTTTCCTTGAGACATTCTCCACCGCGGGCAGCAAACACGGCAGACAAAAAGTTTCTCTCCGTTGACTGATAGATATGGCAATGGTAGCGTGGAGAGGCTCCCAGGACGATGTGGCTGACACCCAAGGCGCCCTTTCCTCGCAGACCCAAGGAGGACTATCCCTTCCCACCCCTCAGCCGGGCCAGCTGAACCTGACAGCCTCCCAGATCGCCCCACCGACCCCTCAGACTCCGGTACAGGGACCCCCGAACAACGCGCAATCCACGCCGACGAACCAGACGTCGCAGCAGTCGGAGAAGCAGCCGCAGCACATCGAGTGCGTGGTGTGCGGGGACAAATCTAGCGGCAAGCACTACGGCCAGTTCACCTGCGAGGGCTGTAAGAGCTTCTTCAAGCGGAGCGTACGGCGGAACCTCACTTACACATGCCGTGCCAACAGGAATTGTCCGATCGACCAGCACCACCGCAATCAGTGTCAGTACTGCCGCCTCAAAAAATGCCTTAAAGTCGGCATGAGACGGGAAGGTATTGGGATTTTTTGGTTTTCCTAATCCGTGTGTGTGCTTGTGCGTTTGCAGACCACCCGACACGAACGCTTAGGCTATTATGTCGTCCTCCATAGTCCTATTCTCCTATTCTTCCAACCCCCCCGACTGTTCCATGCAAGGCTGTGCGGCAGGAGCAGGCAATGCAGCCGCTCTCTGTTGTGCTGGAGACCAGGCTTTCTTTCTCCGCCTCTCATCCAGCTCCATGCAGAGCTGCATTTAAAACAATATAAAAATGGCCGTGATTTTGTATTATTATTAATAATAATAATAATATTCTTATTGTTATTCAATTCGTGTGCAGACAGCACTATGAATAGATGTTATTACATAGCCTCCTGCGCTGATATGGCGAATTATGGGATAGCGTGCTCCGGCTACATCTCTGTCGCTTCACTTTATTTCTCTGTCTAAAGCTGGACATTATCGTAAAATGTGCCCGCAAAGCAAATGTGAGAAAAGCCCTGGGAAATATGTATAAGACATAGCGAAAGTAGGCCTGTGTGTATGTGTGTGTGTAAAATGGAGATGGATTGCTAAGTAGGTTAAGGGTTAAACATGCAAGGTCTGTCTTTGTGTTTCCTTCACAGCCAGCTAATGCTACTGTAGCTGATAGAAAAATGTGTGCAAAATGGCACATTTCATTATTCAGGGCGTAATTTGTTTTATTACGATCTTATGGTTGCGTGCGTTAAACCCAGTGAGTGTATGTATGTGTGTGTTGATGACAAACTGTGAACATGTTGTCTTGTAAATGTATTTTCTGTGCACTCTTAGTCCAAATTTCTGTATTTCTAAAAGGAACTCTCTGATTTGGTAGAATTCAGGCTTCAATATCTGTAGTTTCTCTTTTTACTGCAGCCGTGCAAAGGGGACGGGTGCCACCCACACAGCCACACCACGGTCAGTTCGCCTTGACAAATGGAGACCCACTCCACTGCCATTCCTACTTATCCGGATATATCTCTCTTCTGCTGAGAGCGGAGCCCTACCCGACGTCCCGCTACGGCAGCCAGTGCATGCAGCCCAATAACATCATGGGCATCGAGAACATTTGCGAGCTGGCGGCCAGGATGCTCTTCAGCGCCGTGGAGTGGGCCAGGAATATTCCCTTCTTCCCGGACCTGCAGATCACAGACCAGGTGGCTCTGCTGAGGTTGACGTGGAGTGAGTTATTCGTTCTCAACGCCGCGCAGTGCTCCATGCCCCTGCATGTGGCTCCTCTCCTAGCGGCGGCTGGCCTCCACGCCTCCCCAATGTCGGCGGACAGAGTGGTGGCCTTTATGGACCACATTAGGATCTTCCAGGAGCAAGTGGAGAAGCTCAAAGCTTTGCACGTTGACTCTGCCGAATATAGCTGCTTAAAGGCAATTGTGCTCTTCACCACAGGTAAGAACAATAGACAAGCGCAAAGTTCACAGAGTGCGTTAATGTCACTAACCTGCACACACTGACATCAGCCAGAGCAACGCTGACCCAAATATGTATCTGCAACTGGTTTAAGGCTGTTGCATGTGTGACATCAGCTTAAAGCTTCAGTGCTCCACTCACTCAGCTGCTCTTTGGATGTACTAACCTATTGAAATAAATACATAATTAAAAAACCGATTTATAAGACACACTGGGGTGCAGTGACAAGGAAACAGTTTGCCTTAAACGCAACCCTTAAAAGTTGCCATAAGCATCATAAAAATCTATAATACAATATCAAATAACCTGAAGTTTTTTTTTGTTTTTTGTTTTTTTTTCTCCAGCCATTTATCAATGTGTTTATACCCCACGTCTTGTTTGTAGGAAATGACAGATATAAATGATGTCAGGCTCCAAAAGGAGAAGGGGGAGGGAGCAGGCAAGGAAAGACAAGCCTTAACGTCCCATTTGCACAACGTATAAGAGAGCAAAGCGAAGGTTTTCAGCGCTCTCATGTCACCGAGAGACAGACACGTGAGACAAAAACGCGCAGGACTCTTAAGTAAATAACAAAAAAATCCATGCCTCCTTCATGCAGCTGAGTGTGATATTGTGCAGTGACTTATTTATGTATTATTATTATTATTATTATTATTATTATTATTATATTATTATTATTATTATTATTATATGTATTTATTTATTTATTACTATATGGTTGTGCGCATTTTCTAACGGGGTTTTCGAGGCCCTTCTGGAGTCGCTCCAGGAGCGGGGTCATGACCCAAACTTCTTCCAGCTATTTTCTTACATTAGCTGAGAGAATGCAAGCAAAACAGCAACATCGATTCTAAACGAGACCTCGCAAAAGCCTTCAGCCTCTACATTCCGTGGTTTGCTATTGTCTCGGCATTTAAAAGAAATATCACATTTTCAGCCCATTGAACTTTAGTATTAGGCTTTTATAGAGCTATCAAGCCGTAATTTGTCTTCTCCGCATACCTGAGTCCCAACTGAACATGAGCTGTAAGCTTGAATGACACGCCTTTTTGCTTCCTCGGTGGTTTGCTTGTTGTCATGCATAAACTTTACAAACTTAACCAATGCGCGTACAAGTGTTTTTTGGCACATTATCAGCTGCCGCCCACATGCAACAGCAGCGCAGATCCAGATTATGAGTCTCTGACTGTATAGTATGACGGCTGTTCCGTAGGCTATGAGCCCCCTCTTCTTTTTTTTCCTGCTTTTGCTTAAATCTCAGCTCACTAAAGGTCAGTAGGTCTCCGTGTCTTTCCCTACTGCAGCCCCCCTCCCTCCCCCCTTCTCTCTTTGCTCCGAGAAAGATGGGGCCATCAGAAAAAAAAAAAAAAAAAAAAAAAAAAAACACTGCGTTGAGCTACGAATATGCTTAATTATTTAGTTCGCCTTTTAAATGGCTGCAGTCAGGGAAACAGAAAGCGATGTGAAAGGAGAAGGCAGAGATGGCTTTTTAATCATCCGCCTTTAAGATGATGACGTGTTTTGTGTTTATATATATATTGTTTTAAAATAGAATAATATATAGTCAGGCGGAGTTATTATCTACAGTACTTTGTTAAAAAAATTAAAATAAAAGATTTGTGTTGTGAATATTTTAAATACATATTTTGCATTTTAAAAAAAATATCTATTTTAAAGCTATTTATTATATCACCTCAGTGGTGACCAAGCTCCTGGTGAGAGGAACACGTTATTAATGATTATTTGCTTTCCACCCCCCTATTCCCCGCCTCCCTCCCTCTCAGATGCTTGTGGCCTCTCAGATGTGGCCCATGTGGAAAGTTTGCAGGAGAAGTCCCAGTGCGCCCTGGAGGAATATGTCCGGAGCCAGTATCCCAACCAGCCAACACGGTTTGGGAAGTTGTTACTCCGCTTGCCTTCCCTCCGCACAGTCTCTTCCTCGGTCATAGAACAGTTATTTTTCGTCCGATTGGTAGGTAAAACCCCCATTGAAACTCTCATCAGGGATATGTTGCTGTCGGGGAGCAGTTTTAACTGGCCTTACATGTCAATTCAGTAAAAACTGGGAAAGAGACGAACTTGAACGAAAAAAAAAATGCAGGGGGGCTCTGAAGGTGTGTGCGTGCGGGGGAGGAGGGGGATTCATTGATTATAGCTGCTTTTGTGGAAGGATTTAAAAACGGCTGTTACACGGGGCTGGCTTTCATGAAGAAAGACATAAATGACTGTGAATTCAACCCCCACCCCTCTACTCTGAGAGAAAAAAGAAAAATTAAGACATTCAACTGAACTTTCAAAATACAAGCTCCCACAGTGTTCAGCAAGAACAACATGCTCCTATTCATTTTTTTAATGAAAGAAGAAAATGAGGAAAAAAAAAGAAGGGATTGTTTTTTTTTTGTTGATCCTTATTAAAAAAAATTAAGTATTAAGTGCATTTAAAATGGGAAAAAATTGGGTTAAAAAAAAAGAAAAAAGTTAAGAAAGGGGAAAAAATTCATTTTCTGAAATGACTTGTCCTGTGTCCATGTATAGCTGTGTTTTTGTACTTTCTTTGTTCCTCCTTTCTGGTTACAAACCGGCCTATGTGATTTCTGTAGTTCAGGTGATGTTATTTTTTAAGACAATGATTTATTTTAAAAATGGTGAAATAATGTAAAGAAATAAATAAAAAAAAACATACAAACAAACAAAAAGGTTCTAAAGAGAATTAAAACCACAGCAATAGGAGAATAGGCTTAATGCTGCAAGCGCACTTATACACTTAGGAAGACCAATACCATGTGGGGCAAAACTAGGGAGGTGTTGAACTTTATGACCCATATTTTCATTATTTTGTGCTATTATGAAGTTACGGGAGCTTTTTTTTAAAATTATTATTATTTCTTTTCTTACTAAATAAATATTGAATCTGCTTGGATGATTCAATCAACCCCTCTCCCCCGACTGCCCACCTCATCCAGCTGCAAATATCAGGCATTACTTCTTCAAATTGGACACACTTAAAAGGAAACTTTTAACATTTATTAAATTTGTTCTATTTACAAGTCTCCAAGGCCTGCTACAATAGAGGCAAATCAAGAGCACTGGAGAGCAACAGAAAGAATAACCCGGCTTGTTGTTGAAAAAGAAGTTGGAGAGGTCAAGGGGTCATAAAAGTTTTGAAGCAGGGCCAGAGCAGCATTTAATAGCAGTATTATTAAAGCCTCCCTGAAATGTCACCCTTTATTCACTTCAAGCATTAAGTGCCTGACAAGAAGAGCATGATGTGATTTCTCATCAAAACATTGTTAAAAGTAGGCCTGCAGAATTTTTTGGTTTTGATTTTTCTTTTTTCTATTTTCTTTTTTGCTTTTCTTGTTCAGAGGATGGGAAGGGGGGACGGAAGAAAATTAGATTTCAGTCTAATTTCAGTCGAGTTTCACTTGCAAAACACTGATTTAGAGGCAGTATTCTTGTAAATATAGGTCAGTTCATTTCGACAAGTTTGTTCCTTTATACAAAGTATATGTGATTAAGAAAAAAAATCTGTGGTTGCCATTTTTTTTTTCTTTCTCGGTAATACAAACGTCTTCAGAATTGAGTGGCAGGTTTTAGCTGGTAGCACTGAAAGTTCTGTTTTTAATGTATATACATATTACTGCGAAAATGTTTTCTTTTTCATGTATATTTAGACTGTGAATGCATGGCCACAGGTCGCTAACCTATTTTACCTTTGATATATAAATGTAAATGTTTTCTCTATCTCTCTCTCTTATTCTCTCTCTTTCTTTTTTGACTGTATAGATATAATCTGTGCATTCAGTACACACTAGCCCTTGTATTTAAAGAGACAGAAAAGAGGGGAGAAAAAAAGGAAAAGGACGTTCATTATTAGGCTACAGACGCAAAACAGGGTGAGCAGATTTGTTTTGTTTTGTTTTACTTTTATTTCTTTTCTCTTTTTTTCCCTTTTGAAAAAAGAAAAAAGGAGCAAATATTTTAACTTTACTGTCATTGCTCCTTTGCTCTTTGACAGGTGCCGTGGTGTGCGTGTGTGCGAGAATGCGTGTGCGTAGCTGTGTGTGCGTGTCTGGAAGCTGCGTTTTGTCCTTGTTTTGAAGCTTTTCTTTAACACACACACACACACACACACACACACACACACACACACACACACACACACACACACATACACACACAGGGAGAAAAAGGAAAAAAAAACAAAAACAAAAAAAAACACCATGTTGTGGTTGAACTGAAAGGGATTGAACACTGATGTTTGGCTGTTCGTGGCCACATATGGACCAGAGAATGATACATGATTGTAATTATGAACAGTTTAAACTGACCCACGTTTTTATATAAATATATAAAAATATATGACTGCAGGGTATTGATAACGTATAGATACTTTTTTTATGATTATCATTATTATTATTATTATTATTATTAATTGCAAGTGATATATGTGAGTGTGCGTGAAAGTTTATAGTTGAACACAATTCTTGTTTGTTTGTGTTAGCTTATTGTAAACAAGCATTCTGCTGTAAATTTGTTCTTGGTATTAAATTATAATTTATGAATTTGAAAACAGTTTTTCATGTTTTTTTTCTTTCTTTCTTTCTATATATGTACATATATAGAAAGAATACATATATATGTATGTGTGTGTGTGTGTGTGTGTGTGTGGGTGTGTGTGTGTGTGTGTGTGTGTGTGTGTGTGTGTGTGGGTGTGTGTGTGTGGGTGTGTGTGTGTGTGTGTGTGTGTGCAAATCTGCCTGCGCGTGAGTGCGTGCGTGATGCGTGTGTGGTCGCCGACGGGAAGGTGGGATGGAGGGGCTGGGGTGGGGGGTACTGGAGTCAATTTGCTCTAGCAGGATGTTGCCCTTTTGCCCTGCGAAAGTGATTAATGAATTACAAAATAATTAATCAATCAGGCAAACGGCGCCCAGCTCGGCGTATCCACTTCTTTCCTTGAAGGCGACACAAAAATTGCGCTCATTGCTTCTGTTTTGTTGGCATTAGATACGCATGCTTTGTTTGTGTTAAACTTTGGAAAAGACAACGTATCGTAGTAGCACGAGAGACCGCTCAAACACAGAAGATATACCAAGTCAGCTTTCCCCAATGCTGTGCTTTATTTTATACACTCGCTGCTCTCCGTGTGCAAGTATAAATATTAACAGACTGAATTATACTGCAGCCAAGCGTCAAAATAAGGGAAGTCATATGAAAGAGGGGGGAAAAAATAATACGAAATGTTATGAATTCCTATGCTGAGTTTACTGCGTGATGTTGCGTTATTGTGGTTTTATTCGCCTCAATCGGAGCTTCTTGTCCGTTCATTTATTTGTGGAATATTGAGGTTTTCAGTTGCAGTTGCGCTCTAGGCACTCGCGTAACAGTGATGCTCTAACCCTTTGGCCTGTCTGTAATTATCAGTGATATTGGCTGAGTTTGGGGAGTTAGGCCTGAAGTTGAATTAAAGAGGTTTAATCAGGATTGGTATTGAAGCCAAGCTTCTGCTGCTGCTGGTGTGTTCAGGGTTTGTGCGCGCGTTGCGGGTTTGTTGATGCTGATAATGAAGAAAATGATAATCACGGTGCGCTGCTGATGGGCTTATTTTTTTGTTTATTTTTGCTCAGAGCCCTATTCATCCACACCCGCTGTTTTCTCTGTCCATTTCAGCCCAAACGTCGCCGGACAAGTGCGTTGCTAGACATACAGTCGGACTGGGGCACAAGACCCGTTTGTAAGTCCAGACTCAAGTCTAGGTTTCAACACGTTTTTCCCCACCTGATTCAAATAACCTGGCTTTATTGAAACAAAAGCTAGACCTCACATGAAAATACAAGGCAGCAAAACTTTTTTTTTTTTAATGCTGTTATACTGAATTTCTATTCTGGGTCACATTCTTCTTAAGTACAACGTCATCTTTTCCCTCGAACTTCGCTCTGACAAAGGGCAGAAACTTAACAGGTCTGCAAGACTGCAGGCAAAATTATCTTATTACAGTTTCCTCAAAAACACCATCTACCACAAAATACACCGTGGTAGGTGATGCTTCCTTAAAACACGCTGAATATCTTTTTGATATGTTTACATTTGCTTCCATCCAATAAAAGCTTCAAATTTTTATAAAATTAAATTTTCTGTTTGTAGTATTTTTTTCTACTTACGCTAAGACAAATATTACTTGGCATCGCCAACGAGCTGATTGGGCAGGACTCATGCAAAGGTGGGCATCACACAGCAACCAGATCATTGTTTCTTCAAGTTAGCTTTGATGGGTTAAACTTAACTTGCAATTTTATCTGTACAGAGAGTACATTGGGCAGTTTTTGTTTTCCCATAATGCATTTTTAAAAATGTTCTTCTTAAAATAAATAAAAAAAAAAAAAAACATACACACAAATTAATAAAGTGGAGATTTGGGCATTTCTATACTTGCTGATTGAAAATTATTATGTTATTTTATTCATATTTGATCGGGGCGGTTTTCTTTCTGATGCACAGAGGGGTCGCCGGGGACTGTGGGGCACGAACCCTGAGAAAAAAAATGATTTGGCAACGCCTACCAGCTAATAGGGCAGAACTCGTGCAAAGGTGGGCATCACACATCAATCAGACCCGTAATTGGGGGCCACAGCAGAAGAGAAAACGTGAAGAAGCGTCCTGAGGAGATCCGGGTTCACTCTCAGATCAGACCAACAAAAAGGCTGCATGGTGCGTTTGTGCTCCGTCTCGACTGATTTCGGCTGACAGACGCTGATTTTATTATACGGGACTCCATCATTTGTTCTTCTGCTCTCTTATTAGCGCAGAACCAAAAAACTAACGAGGTGTTACTCGCTGCAACGTCACTTTTATTTACATTCCCGGCTGACGTGAGAACTTGTGACACGCGAGCTGGTACAACCTAAAAGAGAGGGAAGGAGACGCTGCTGCTTCTGCGGGCTGCAAGTGGGGATGCTGCAGGGGTTTACACACCCAGGCTGAGAACTTATTTAGAGCTCACGGGCTATTAGCGGGGATATTTGTTTAATAAGATAAGGATATGGTTTGCAAGTCTCTTTCTGTCTTCCACCCTCCCCCCTCTCTCTGCTTCTCTCTCCCCCTCTCTCTCTCTGCTCATGCAGACACCCGAACAGTTAAGCGAGAAAACACACACGCATTATTCTCACCTTGGCACCATCACGATGACAAATTAGCCCATGCAACAAACGCTTTATTGCATATATAGTGTATTGTTTGAGGCAATAAATCCCGTAAGTCAAACGCTTTGCAAGTTGGGACACCTGCCCCTTCTGTTAATGTGCAGAATTTTTAAATTATTAGTATTGTTATTATTATTTGCGGTGCTACTTGTCGTCGTAATAATATCACTACACCGCAAAGTTTGCTCAAAGGGATAATAAATCATCGATTCTCCTCCTCTTTTCTTCATTCTAAGCTTTCTTTTCCGATCCGTCCCCTACCATTAAAATGAAACACCCTTCACTTCAGCTTTGCTCGCAACGCTTCAGAAATGTAAGAAAATTGTGCCATCTACCCGCTGCCCCTGGAACTGTAGCTTATATCCCAAGACCTCGGAGACCTCCGCTCACTTCTAACGCAGATGGATGAAAAAAAAAAGGGTGGGGGGGTAAGGATGGTAGTGCCTCCTTGCACGCACGTCCACGAAAGCAGCTGCCGGCTGCTATTAGGCTGTAACTTTACAAGTAATGTGTGTTTTAAGCACCTGTCATCTACTCTACATCCCACTGCGTCTGTCTGTCTCTCTCTGTGTGTGGATATGAATGAAGGAGGGAGCGGGAAATGGGCTGCAGAGGGGATCCCGCGTTCACATGAGGAACAGGGCTTTAGGATAATTCAAATAGTCTGTTTGGGTGAATTTGTAATAATAATAATAATAATAATAATAATAATAATAATAATAATAATAATAATAATAATAATAATAATAATAACAATAATAATAAAATAATAAACTGTAGCCAGGAATAAATCTGCGTGGTCGCATATTTAACACGACCCAAAGTTATAAACCAGCCTAAGCATTAGGCTGGTTTGGAAGTTGTATATTTATTAAAAAAAAAAAAAAAAAAAAAAAAAACACGCATACAAACAAATCATTTTTTTCTCCAACTCCAATATTTCCGGATAAAGGGCGATGGGCCAACTTATCTGTTCAGTTGCTGTGGGATAGCATCATCTTGTTAAGTTTTTATGTGAGGTTAAAAAAAAAACAGGAAAAGACATTCATTTGAAAATTAAAAGTAAAACAAAACAATATTTGAAAAGTCGCGTTTTAAGATTAATATGATAAGATAAAGAGAGTTCAAATTGACGAAGAGCAGAATTAGCAGCCCTTGTGCAGTGTTCTTATTCAAACCAAACACACGCTCACATGACGCAGGGGCGCAACCAAAAAGCTTTTCTGGGGGGCGACAATACGTGGGGGCCACCAATAACCAGAAGCGATTGCAATAGAGTTTCAGAAGTGATTATGAATTATGAATTTTTCTGTTACAGAAGTTTAAAATGTGGGATGTTTCCCCCCACACCTACCAAGTTACAAAAAAGCCATCTGATTTGACACCTCAGCCCACACATAAATTAAGGTCAATAATTTTAAAATCCAGTTTCTTTCATCACTAGTACATGTACTGTAAATCATTTTTTTTTGTCTTGAAAAATAAAGACTGCATCCAATGGCTTGACTGTCAAAGCGACATACTGTCACTCTAAAGCTTTAGCTTTCGCAGTGAAACCGCCCTATTGTCAGCATTTCTGCACTGCATAATCTGTTAATATCATTTTACTGTAGATTTATTGTGTGTTTTAAATTCTGAGATAGTAATTTAAATTACAATGTTAATAATTAACTGGTGAAAATATTTTGTCAGTACCTAATATTTGTACATGTGGGTTGATGTTCTTAAATATATATTCAATGAAACGCTTTTTACTGCAGCCATTTGTAATATCTCTACATTTCCAAAGCAATGTTTGGCATAGAAGCATTGGACTGTACAACAGAAGCTACAGTAACCATTTACAACAGTAGACAGTCACATTTTTATTTTATTTTGACAGCAGGTCTGTAAAATGTGTTATAATTGCGTGTCGTAATTATAGTTTAAGTTAACAGTTACCTAGTAATGTAATGCCAATACTGCAGGAGCTAAAGGATAATTAACAATTTATATTTTTCTTATCTAACAAAAAGAAGAAACATAACTTCTTTGGATCTACACAGAACTCAGAGTTCATTGTTCAAACACATTTTCGACCGAAGTCTTGCATCATTTAGAAGTGCAGTTCTGGTCGAGGTCACGACAGAGTTGAAATTGAACACCATGAATAAATAAAGGATAAATTGGTAAATGAATGACTATAACCCATCAAAGTTTGTGTTTTCCTGTCGTAGATTTATCAAAAGTAGATATTCATAAAAAAACAATTGCATACATGCAAAATTGTCTGCACAGGTTGCGGATGGATGATCACTGCGCCCTCTGCTTTTGGGTTTACATGTAGAAACACTTGGCTTCCTATAAGGACGTCTGTTTTCTGGAGGTTTAAGCTTCTTTTTT